AATTTTTGAAATTTCCAACTAACTTTTGCCTCAAGATTTGTGCCCGATCAAGCTAATTTTTACATGACATATCAAAGCTTAAATTTGAGTTCATATTTTATAGGAGCAAGAGCTCTAGATTGGCCCGACTTGGCTCATCGGCTCAATAAATATCAATAGATGCGTCATCGTTTAAATAGGCACATCAACATTCATATTAACCTACTTATTTATTGTCTACATTCAAAAAAAAAAAAAATTCAAGCTACAAAAATGAGTCAAGCTCGAACTTTTTTCTTATCAAGCTTTGGCATTCGAGTCGAACTCGGGCCTCATTATTTTCACGCGGACCGAGGACTAGTTGAGCGAGTCTGGCTCGATTAAGCAAAAACTTGACTCAACTCGTATACAGTACTTCTCATCCATCCAACAAAAAAAATTATCCTATTCCTCACAACTACCAGTTAATTAAATGCTGGCCGCTCTGGCGACTATGCTATCTACATCCTGTTATCAGAAATAGCATGTTCTATGTTTTTTTTTTTGGAAAATGTAAATAAAATTTAATAAGTTGATATTTTGGAAACTTCAAAAATTAAATTTGGGACGATCTGAGCTATGATTCTGCAAACTTACAGTCGAACTAAATGCTTCGTAAATACGAACCCAACGACACCAAATTCGACTCAATCTGAACTCAAATGAGTCCAATTTAAAGACCCAATGCACGCTAGTAAGGTTCAAACCATAATTTGGATTACCATTCATTTTCAAAAAGTGACATGTTTATAGTTGAATTGAGCGGCTCAACGAGACAAATCCAACGAGCCAAAGATCGTTGAATTTTGTTATCATTAAGACATTCAAATGCCCAATAAATGGTCCACGATAAACAAATTCAACATTGGTCGTCCATTCAAACAACTTTTAATTTATTCTTGATCTTCCTCATATTTACTGGCCACACCACTCTTAGAAAATTATAAATACACCCATCATTTCTCATATAAGTTGACACAAGCAAGAAGAGAAATTTGAGTTCTCATGCCACCATACTACTCCTCCTCGATCACGGTCGGATTTCTACTCACGGCTTCCAATTGACGCCGGATTTCTACCTGATTGCCGACTGATGTTGTACTTCTGCTGGACTGCCGACCGACGCCGAACTTCTGTCAGATAATCAATTGAAGCCGAATTTCCACCCAACCACTAAACATCGCCGGATTTCCGATCTCTGTCTGTAATGGGATTTCAACCCGACGATTGATTATTATTGTAATCTAATCATCCTCAATGTCAATGATGAGTTAGTCACTTATAATCTAATCGAATACTAGTTGAATCATTTCAACTGGGCCAAGTTTTTCTCTTTTATAGTGTTTTAATTCCACATAAAAGTTCAGGTATATGTACAATATTAAGATGAACATTTTTAACTTTATTGCCACGTATATTCTGAACTTTTATTTGGTCTGGTGAACGTACGCAACTCTACGTTCGGTCGCCAGTAGAATCGCGCCACGCGTTTTCATTATTTATCGATCGCCCCGACAACCCGACCCTGAACGGACCCAAGATTGCTCGATATTGGTCAATTTTGCTCGGCAATAACCAATACCGAGCAAATACCTAGCAATACCGAACAAATACCGAGTTGTACCGAGTTTTTTCTAGCAATATCGAGCAAACACCTAGCAATACCGAGCAAATCCCTAGCAATACCGAGCAAATCCTGAGCAAATACTGAGTTGTACCGAGTTGTACTGAATTGTAAACAAACTTGGTACAACTCGGTATTTGCATGGTATTGGTCTTCACAGAGCGGTATTTCTCATTTTTGCAAAGCAATATCTAGCAAATACCGAGCAAATACCGAGCAATACCGAGAAAATCGCGAACATAGCATTCCCGGGTTCCGCTCCGGGCCAAGTCGTCGGGCCGCGCGGTAAAGAGTAAGAGCACCTGACAACATGTTATTGGCGGCCGAACGTAGCTCTACGTCCGGTCAGAGGACGTAATAATTGTTCCGTATATTCTAGCATGCAACAATCCCATTATTTATTTTCTACTTATAAATATTTTAATGTAAATTATCCAATTTTTAGACTCTTTATAATTAAAAATGGTATGAGGATATTTTCATAAAATAATTTTCAAATTTCATCAGGAGTCTTATTATTTTATACGAGGATGCTTAGATATAAATTTTATTTAGAGTGCATTCAAGACGACAATAAAGGCCGCACATGTGCTGACCAAAATAATATTCGAAAAGGGTTATGATGGGCCAGCTTTGAAGATGTAAACTAAGGCAACATTTTGCTCTAAAATAACAGCAGTCAAAATATGGAAAATTGAAAGCATAAATCATAAAGATTATCTATCTGTTAGAAACTGTTGCAGTTTTTTTTATAAAAATTATTAGAAGGTTATTTTTTTTAAATTGTTATGAAAAACAGTTTTTTTATGAAATCAATTTATATATGCGGCGATAGAGTTATAATTTTACGTCTTAGCATTGCACGGATATCCAGCTCACACACAAAAAACATAATATTTTTTACGTGAAAAACCCCGAAAGGGAAAAAAACCACGGGCCTAGCCCAGTTGAAAATGATTCCACTAAAATTTGAGGAAAGTACAATGATCTGACACGTCCTTGAAGACGACCAGATTATAAATATCAACTGAGAGTTTTGCAAAAGTCCAACGTCACTCCACTGTCAGGTGGTGGTCCGGCAGCACTCCGGTGTCAGGCAGTGGATCGGCAGTGGAACTTTAGTGTCAGGGGGAACTTAAGCTTCAGATGGCACTTCGGCGTCCCTTGGTGGTCCGTCGGTGGTGCGACAGCACTCCAGCGTCCCTTGGTGGTCCGGCGGTGGTGCGTAGAACTACGACAGTGGTGCGGCAGCACTCCGGCGGTGGTGCGGCAGCACTCCGGCGTCCCTTGGTGATCCGACGGTGGTGCGACAACACTACGGCGGTGGCGCGGTAGTACTCCGGCAGTGGTCGAGGAGCTAGGCGACTGGAGCTTTCTTTCTTCTTCTCTCTTGGCTTCTTCCCTTCCTTCATGAGGAAATGGGGTTCTATTTATAAAATTCTTGAGTTGCATTGCTTGTAAATAAGTGGAAGATCAATGATAAATTTGGAGTGTTTGGAATGGACGACCGATCTTAATCATGCATCGTTCAATAGATATTTGACTGTCTTAATGATATATGAATTTGATGATCTTGGGCTCGTTGAATTCGTCTCGTCGAGCTGCTCGATTCGACTATAAGCATGTCATGATTGGAGATCATTTGGTAACCCAAATTGTGGTTCAATCCTTCAAAAAATGCTTCGAGTCTTTGATTTGGACTCATTTGGGCTCGGATTGAGTCGATTTTGGTGTCGTTGGGTTTGTGTTTCCGAGGTGCTCAGTTCAACTGTAAGTTTGCTGAAATAAGAATTCATATTGTCTCCGATTTAATTTTTTAAATTTCCAACTTGATTTTGCCTCGAGATTCGTACCCGATCAAGATAAATTTTTTACGATGTATCAGTTATAACATGAATTATTTTTAGAAATGATCAGAATAATAGAAGTATAAAATTATATGAAAAGTCAATAGTTAAAAAATAGAATTATATTGTTCTCTCTCCTCTCTCTTTCTTAGATCTAATGTTTCTCTCTCATCTCATTGAATTTTGGAGAGTCATATGAAGAGGAGTTATAATATAATTTACATTAATTTGTAAAACCCCCCACCCACGTTTGATTCCTCTCTCAAGCGGCGCGACTTCTTAAGTGGAGAGAAAATAAGTGCGTGGTCTGGTTGCCGCCAGGCCTGTCGAGTGGTTTATTACTCTGTCAAGCGCCTCCTCTTCGAGGGTGACAGCGGTAGATACCCCAGTTCCTAAAAAAAAAATTACATTGATTTGTTACTTTCAAACATGAAAATTAAAAAAATTAATAGGGACTAATGTCATGACTCATACAACATGCATAAATTTAATCTAAAATATGAGTAAAATACGTGCAAAGATCATAATAACATGAAAAAAATTCTTCCCCCGCTTATTCTAAAATAATAATTTCTTGATTTTACTAATTCATAAATGATTATGCAATTTTTTTCTTCTCTTGTGATTGATTTATGAGCCACAAAGATAGGTCGGATCGAGATCTATCTAAGAAAAGTTGAATTTATAGGGCTTAAAAATCAAGAAAATAAATTTGTCATTTTTATTTTTACATAATTTTGGTGTAAATAATAAAAAAAAATTATATTAATAAATGATATTGATGCAAATTTAGGGTAGAAAATGGGAAAGATTAAACAAATTAAATGCACCTCCTTTATGGTTGGGAGGCCTAATATCAACCCAACGGTACTCACCTTCCTCTCCACCCTTATCGCTGTAAAGCTCCCTAAGAAGCTACAAAATCTATTCAATGCTCTCAACAACCCACTAATAAAGCTCATAAATGATTTTCAGAAAAATAAAATAAAATAATTCCCATAAAATCTAAATTCCACCGCCGCTCTTAATTTTTTTTATTTAATTGAAATATAGAAACCTTAATTTTTGAGATATTAGAAATATTTAAATGTATTAAATTTAATGACTTTTTAGTCAATATTGAATTTAATGATGAGAGAAACAAATAATATTTAAATTATAATATCATTAGACGATTTATTGGACCACTCTAACTTTAGTAGTAAAATTATCCAAACATTTGACTTATAATTAAATTAAAATTTAAATTTATTAATTTTTTTAAGATTTGTCAAAAAAAAAAACTAGTTTATTATATATTTTTTGATTATTAATAATAAAAGTAAGTTGATTTTTAAAATTATTAGGTTTATTTTTAATTAATGCAATATAAATTTAATTTATTTTTTTATATATTATGTTATTCTCAAAATAAAATAGATTATTTTGGGACCTAAATTAATGAAATATTAATTAAAATATATTAATCTTTGCTATGGCTCTTCAGCTATTTAACTAGCTCTAACCTTGAATCTCCTTCAACTTACCTAGCTAGGCCACAACTGTCTCTCTCTCTCTCTCTCTTTCTCTTCCCGTTGCATCATGGCCGTTGAAAACGGGAAGCAAGCTGCGGAGGCCGGCGGCGGCGCGGCAAAGCCAGAGAGGGCAGTTAAGATAACAGAAAAATCAAGTGTGCAGCCGAGGAAGCCGACGGCGAACCCGAAGGTAGCGCTGGCGACTTTCGACCTTCCCTACATCACATTTTACTACAATCAGAAGCTTTTGGTTTACAAACAAGGGGCGGAGGAGTTTGCTGTTGTTGTGGGGAAAATGAAGGAGGCATTGGCGGAGGTGTTGGAGGAGTTCTATCCGCTCGCCGGAAAATTGGTGCAGGAGGAGGAAGATAGAGCGCTGTATGTTGAGTGTGAGGGAACAGAGGGAGGGGTGGAGGTGGTGGAGGCGGAAGCGGAGGAGGTGGTGGTGGCGGACCTGGCGGAGGGAGAAGCGCCGGAGGAGCTTATGAAGGAATTGGTGCCGTATACTGGCGTTATGAACCTCGAGGGATTTAGCCGACCGTTAGTCGCCGTTCAGGTTGAACAATCTCCCCCTTCTTTTTTCTGTCCCTATTTCTCTCCGCTTCAGGAAATCAACACTCACACTGTCACACACAAGAAAAAGAAAACATCAAATCTATTTATTTACAAAATTACCACTTTACTTCTTTTTTTTTTTCAAATTTTCACTAAAAATTTAAAATTCTGTTCAAATATCAATTCCTATTTTTCACTTTTATCAAATTTCTAATATTTTTATTTTCAATGTATAAATTCAATAATTGAAAAAATATATATATAATTTTAATAACAATTTGAAAAATTGTTCAGTTCAAATTGTTAAACAATGAGTGCTGGAAATACTCATATAAAAGAAATTATTGAATTATTATGGAGTCTAATATGATTGAATAAGATAATATTTGTGTTCTATTTATCAAATTAATTTTTTTAAAGAAGAATTAGAGTTAATTAACCTGCAAGTTCAGAAATTAAATACACCAAAATGTATTGTCTTTATTTAAACTATCGTGATCATAAATTTATTAAAATTAAAGACCAATTTCTAAGCTAATTTTTAATTTTTGAAAATTCAATTTTCAGTTTTTCATTTAAAATTTATGTGAAAATTAGCATTATTGAAATAAAAATTTTGCTTTTAATTATTTATTTTTTAAACAACAGTTGACAAAGCTGAAGGACGGTATTGCCCTTGGCTGCGCCTTCAACCACGCCATTCTGGACGGAAATTCCACGTGGCATTTCATGACTTCTTGGGCCGAGCTGACCCGCGGTGAGCCCATCTCCGCAAGCCCAGTCCACAACCGATCCCTGGCCCGATCGACCCGCGTCCCCCTCAGCCTCCCGATCTCCCCTGCCGCCCACGAGCTCGCAGACCCTAACCCTTCTCCTCCTTCCTCCCTCCGCGCTCGCGTCTTCTCCTTCCCCGAATCCACAATCCTCCGCCTCAAATCCGCCATCAACTCCTCTCTTCCCGCCGGAACCAAACCCTTCTCCACCTTCAAATCCCTCGCCGCACACGCCTGGCGCTCCATCTCCCGCGCACGTCGCCTCCCTCCCGATTCCATCACCATCTTCGCCGTCTTCGCCGACTGCCGCTCCCGCCTCCGTCCTCCACTCCCAGATTCCTACTTCGGAAACGTAATCCAAGCCGTTTTCACCGGCACCGCCATTCATCCCCTTCTCACCGCCCCGCCCGAATTCGCCGCCGGACTATTGCAACAAGCAATCGAAGCCCACGACGCCGCCGCGATTCAAGCGAGGCTAGAAGAGTACGAATCGAAGCCGAAGATGTTCTATTTCACCGACGCCGGCATAAATTGCGTCGCGGTTGGGAGTTCGCCGAGGTTTCGTGTCTACGACGTGGATTTCGGATTCGGGCGGCCGGAAAGAGTGAGGAGCGGCAAGAACAATAAGTTCGATGGCATGATGTACTTGTATCCAGGGAGGGACGGGGGGAAGGGGATTGATGTGGAGCTGACGCTGGATGGGCAGGCCATGGAGAATCTGGAGAACGATGGAGAGTTTCTCGTCGCCGGAGGAGATGAGCCGTGATGATGAGCTAGTGTTGAAGCAATTTTAGTATTTAAGATTTGTGTATTTGTAGTTGTTGGGAGTTGGGGAGTATATGTGGGAAGGAGGAGGAATAAGAGGTGTGGTCAAGGGCGAATTATTACGGACGTCGCCCCATCACCCGAATATATTAGGTCCTGGTGTATTTGGGTGATGTGGCGCGTCTGGATTGGTGTCCGGACGAATCCGGACACCGAACGTAATAATTTGCCGTGGTTAAGGCTTTATTTTTATTTTCAATGGTGTTGAATGAGAACTAATTTTCATTGTGTAAGACTGTTGGGGAGTGTTGAGGCATGATTGTGCTATAAATAAGTGATTTGGGTTCATTTCATTATATATATGTGAGGTGAATTTGCAAAATGATACTTCTAATTTTATAAAATTATTATTACACTACTTGGTGTCAACTATATGAATCTTTTTTATCTATTCTATTCTAGTACGAAACAATTTCTCATTTAAATCTAATACAAATTTTATTTATAATACTTTTTAATCAATTCTTTTTAGACCTATCTCTGTCTTTTATAACATAAGCTAAATATAATATATCTACTCTCATAGCCGAGTCATGAGTCAATGATGAATTTAGGAGATGTTTAATTTCAAACATCATAAATATACAAAAAACTTTTAAAATGTAATGATAGACTTTTGATAGTAACGAGTCTCCATTATGTTATATTTATTAGACAAATAAATAATAGGAAAACATAATTAAGGGCCTATTCGGTGGTTTATTATTAAGTATATAGCAATGTAATTTATTTATGAAGTTTCAACCCTCTATCTTATTTATTTATTTGATCTTCGAATAAATCTAGGACGTTAAATTCTATTTCTATTTAACGCCGTGGATTTTTTAGAAGGCAACAAGTATTATTTATCAAATGTAGTTAGGTGGTTTAATGATATTACTTAAAAGAAAGGAATGTTACATGGGTGATTAGCTTGACTATTTCCTTTTTTCTCATTTCTCATTTCTCATTTCTCATTTCCATCAAGATTAATGTATTAAGGCAATCAATGAAATATCAATTGATTTTTATTGAGATTTCCTTAATTTGATCTATTAGTGCTTCTCTTATTACCTCAATGTGTTATAAAACCAATAATATTGTATTATTTGTAAGAAAAAAAAAAACAACAAAAGAAACATCACAATGAGAAAAAGATATGAACCAAAAACATATATATGGATGATTAAAATAAGATGGTTCTTGAATGCTTAAAAAATAAAAATATATGGTGTAGTACTAGAAGCATAAAAAAGAGAGAGAGATATATATATTATATGAATAAGTATGAGGCAATAAGAAATCCTAAATAAAAATATTAATGAAATCAAATTTAACATGAAATTATTTTCTTAACACTCTTTGCATGTAGAATGGTGATCTAGTAGTGCTAGAGTATTAAGAAAGTAGATTTTCTTTAGTTAATTCAATTGGAATTGCTGATGAAGATAGCCAAAATAAACTTCAAACCACATTAAACTATTAAGGAACAAATAGTGAAGAGAATCCTTAAAGCTAACATAAAAAAATTATTGGGAGGAAAGAAGGTTAATACTAGTTTTAAGTCAATTTATAGAAGGCACAATGTTGGCTTCATTTAGCCAAAGATGACAATGTAGGAAGAAATATCTAAAAAACAAATAGAACAATTAATACACATATTTAGCAACCACTAGATCCATATCATGAACTTTTGGTAGACAAATAGTATGAAAGACAACTTCTACCATTTCTCTTCATCTAATATAGTGTAAAGAAGCAATCTAAGAGGCCAACAAATTACTATGGCTTAAATCATATCTTAGTAGCATCTCTATTTAGTACTTATGTGCTCTAAGAAGGAAGTATATTTACTGGTCAATAAGGGCTATCTTCACTGCAATCTTATGTCAAAGGAAACTACTATCATATTCAAACTTTACAACAATATTTTCCATATGACACAATTCCTATAACTTTTAGAGGAGGGATGAATGCTAAAAACCATGATATTTATAAACGTCAATCTTATCTTCATTTGGATAAAATCACTTTATTATGAAATGATTATCGGCTGAAGTTACTCTAATCAGCAACTTTCCATCTAAGAAGAAGTCCATGTATCAAGATAATTCAGCTCACTTATTTGATTGCAAAAATTTAAACATGGTCTATGGTAAATATTGTTAAATATTTTTTTATGCACATAAATTGTTCTACCTTCTTAAATCTTACTTTCTTTCCATTTTAGGCTAAATCTTAAGGTTATATGGATTAAGAGATTTATATTTCATTTGAGACAGATTTCTTACTGCTTTTTAAAGCAATTTTTTAGTACAAAAAATGTACTAAAAATATATTTTAAGAAGTTGAATGAAAACTATCCCAAAAGAAGCCTTAGTCCACTTCTCCTCAATGTGTCCCCTCTTCTACTTCATTTAAATCCTAAATCTTGAATATAATTGCCAAATAGTTTACTAGTATTTAACTATATCTAACATCTATCATGCTAAATAGCTCGTAGAAATTGGAACGTTCTGGTTTTACTAAATATGGATTTATAACATTAACCAAATCCTACTTATAGCCAAATAACTCCTTAAGGATTTATGATTTTTAGTATTTACTAATTTTGAATTTATATAATTTACTAAATCCTACTTAAATGAAATCTTATAGCAAAGAAATCCTTACTTTATGAGCTTAAGCTAAAACAACCTGAATATACTAATTAAGCCATAAATAATACACTAGAAAGCACCACAAATCTCACTAAATATACATCAATCAAATCAATACCCATGATTAGGAATGGAAGGGGATTTATGAAATTCAAACTTACCATAATGGTTTACTTCTTATATTTGGCTCCTTCTTAGACAATTGTTGTTGCGTCCACATTCACCATCTTTAGGCTAAAATTTATATTCTTTTAAATCGAAACCCTAATCAATGCCTTATCCCCAATTCTCAACTCCTTTGAGCAAAAAAATCTCACCTAGATTAATTGAACCCTTGAATTATAATAGAATTCACATTCACACACACGCACACACTCACACTCATAGAGAGAGAGAGAGAGAGAGAGAGAGATTTTAGAAAGGGTTAATTTCATAATATGCAAAAACAACAGTATACAGCCTTAGATGATAGAGTAGCCATAATTGCTAGTGATCATTGACAATGAACACCTTTAAAGATCTCGTGCATCTATTTGAGATGATGCGCATGGTATCGTAGGAGCTTGATAGATGATTGAGTTTGGGTTTATTAAACAAACACTACATGAAATTCAACTTTTTGCCACAAAATAATCTACTACAAATTACAGTGGAATATCTATTGTACATTATGATAGAAAATCAAGCACAAATATGTCGCCATTTGTGACGTGTATTTCTATCTCAAAATATGATACTAGATCGTCATATCATCGTTTGCGATGAAAATTTCATTATGGACTCCATCATTGCTTTCATCATAACTTCCTTCATTGATGTTATAACTACAATCACCTCTATTAATGCCTTTGTAGTGTTCTATTCCTTCATTGCGCTTCCCTTGTTATTGCCCTCAATGTAAATTTTTTATATCGATACATGCATCATAACCCCCTATATTTTTGTTTTTGCTACTTATTCTTCTCTTATTTTTCACTCCCTGGCTAAAAGGATAACCTCAAACTTATTAAGATTTCACCCCATCTCAATATATCGAGAAAGCAAAGCACTTTATAGAAATAGGAAAAATGTTTAACACACATAAATGGAGGTTTATAGTCACTTTGAAGTCCTACAAATAAGTTTCCAAGCCTAGGGGAATGTATTACATCTCACTTTATGGACTCCATTAAGACCATCCCAACATCACACCATATTTGAATTCTAATTTAGTAGATTTATAATTTAGACAACAAAATTTTAATCAAATATCAAAAGATTTTGATATGACATCAGTCCCTATAAAACACTAACTAATTCAAGTTTCTCTAATTAGTTGGATCAAGAGTGGACCATATGAACAATACAAAGTTTCCCTATTATGTTTATCTCTTCAAAGCCTTTTATATTATATAGGAGATTAAAAAAAAAGAGAAAGAAAAAACAACCCCATAACTTTCATCCTAAATGGCTTTCTATCTCAACCGAGCATCTTGTTAAACTGCTTGAAGTTTCTTCTTAAAGCCTTTATACCTTATTAAACACCATTATCTGATCTGGCCATTCTAATGATGCCACATGGATATTTCCTATATGAAGCTCTATTGCCTTACAACATATCTTTGTAACTTATCCATATCATTTTCAACTCCAAACTCTAGCCAATCAACAAATTATCCCATGATTGTCACTTATCACATGATCTTCTCCAATTTTGTCATGTATACTACATTATGTATCGCCACCTTCAGCATGGCCTCAAACTAAGAGTCCAATTATACATAAATCAATAAATCCTCTTTAGCCCACAAGAAGGCCTTTTTAGCAAATTTATGAAGAAACTAAACTCTTATAGCTTCTAGGTAATATGAGTGCTTGTTTAGCTTTAGGTCATAAGAGGGGTTTTCTTAGCCATGAATTATTTTCCCTCCCTCACATTTTACATAGGTTGAAAGTCGAAACACAAAAAGATTTTGTGTACCATCACCTATCAGATATCTTTTTATTATCTATTTTATTTAACCTTTTTCAAGGTTGAAGTCCACCCATTGTTAAGAACTAAACCAACTTGGAGGACATCCTTTCTTCCTATCATTTGTAAATTTGTGAATTGACATGAGTTATGAACTAATTTCAATAGTCAATCTTATTATATATTTTTTTTGTTGGTCACATTAGTCAACATGCATCGTCTCTATTTTCCTTATCCCCTACCGATTTTCCTAAGGTTTAATTGTATCAACCAATAACCATCGACCATTTTGGACCTCAACTAATCTACTAATAATCATTGATCGCTTTAGAAAATATTCATTCTTTACCTTCTATAAGATTTTATTTTTTTGTGCTAATGATCTAATAATCATCACCTCCCACTATAGACACTAAGGAGATGGTGTGTGGCCACTTAATGTATTGAGAAACTGCCATGATGTGAAGATTTTTTGGAACATCATAACATCTTTCTGCCATGGATCACCTTCAATCATTATAATTATAATCATCTACCAATAAGCCTATCATGATGCTCGAAGTGTCATGTAGGGCCATCTCCATACCTATCATGTGTTTGAACATTCATGCTTATGTTAGAATCGAACGCTCATTTCCTGACATAAATCACCTTCACGTATAAGATACTTTATAACAAGAGAGTAATTTTAATCCCATTGAAACTTCGTGGAATTATAACTTGAGACAATAAAAGTGTTTGCAACTAAATATTTGTAATATTTCACTTCCACACATAATTAAATAACCTCATCTATCCACACAATGAACAAAATCTTATTGATCTAATTGCTAAACTCATTTGTGTTATCTAGCTTTGCTCTGATTTTTCTCCACTATCTTATTTCTCCCAAACTAATTATCTCTCAACATGAATGAATTTCTCTTCATTATGAAATAATCACCTAGATAACTTAATCTCATAATAGAGAGAGAGAGAGAGAGAGAGAGAGAGAGAGAGAGAGAGAGAGAGAGAGAGAGTTAATTTCATGATATGCAAAAACAATAGTAGGACAGTCTTAGATGATAGAGTAGCCATAATTGCTAGTGATCATTGACAAGGAATACCTTTAAAGATCTCGGGCATCTATTTGAGATGATGTGCATGGTATCGTAAGAGCTTGATAGATGATTGAGTTTGGGTTTATTAAACAAACACTACTAGAAATTCAACTTTTTGCCATGGAATAATCAGCTATAAATTACAGCGGAATATCTGCTGTACATTATGACAGAAAATCCAGCACAAATCTGTCGCCATTTGTGACGGGTATTTCTGTCACAAAAAATGATACTAGATCATCATATCATCGTTTGCGATGAAAATTTCGTTATGGACTCCATCATTGCTTTCATCATAACTTCCTTCATTGATGTTATAACTACAATCACCTCTATTGATGCCTTTGTGGTGTTCTCTTCCTTCATCGTGCTTCCCTTGTTATTGCCCTCAATGTAACTTTTTATATTGCTACCTTCATCATAACCCCCTATATTGTTGTTTGTGCAACTTATTCTTCTCTTATTTTTCACTCCCTAGCTAAAAGGATAACCTCAAACTTATTAAGATTTCACCCCATCTCAATATATCAAGAAAGCAAAGCACTTTATAGAAATAGGAAAAATGTTTAACACACATAAATGGAGGTTTATAGTCACTTTGAGGTCCTACAAATAAGTTTCCAAGCCTAGGGGAATGTATTACATCTCACTTTATGCACTCCATTAAGACCATCCCAACATCACACCATATTTTAATTCTAATTTAGAAAATTTATAATTTAGACAACAAAATTTTAATCAAATATCAAAAGATTTTGATATGGCATCAGTCCCTATGAAACACTAATTAAACCAAGTTTCTCTAATTAGTTGGATCAAGGGTGGACCATATGAACAATACAAAGTTTCCCTATTAAGTTTATATATTCAAAGCCTTTAAGATTATATAGGAGACTAAAAAAAAAAAAGAGAAAAAAAAAGCAACCCCATAACTTTAATCCTAAATGGCTTTCTATCTCAACCGAGCATCTTGTTAAACTGCTTGAAGTTTCTTCTTAAAGCCTTTATACCTTGTTAAACACCATTGTCTGATCATGCCATTCTAATGATGGCACATGGATATTTCCTATATGAAGCTCTATTGCCTTACAACATATCTTTGTAACTTATCCATATCATTTTCAACTCCAAACTCTAGTCAATCAACAAATTATCCCATGATTGTCACTTATCACACGATCTTCTCCAATTTTGTCATGTACACTACACTCTCTATCGCCACCTTCAGCATTGCCTCAAACTAAGAGTCCAATCATACATAAATCAATAAATCCTCTTAAGCCCACAAGAAGGCCTTTTTAGCAAATTTATGAAGAAACTAAACTCTTATAGCTTCTAGGTAATATGAGTGTTTGTTTAGCTTTAGGTCATAAGAGGGGTTTTCTTAGCCATGAATTATTTTCCCTCCCTCACATTGTACATAGGTTGAAAGTCGAAACACAAAAAGATTTTGTGTACCATCACCTATCATCTCTCTTTTTATTCTCTCTTTTATTTAACATTTTTCAAGATTTAAGTCCACCCATTGTTAAGAACTAAACCAACTTGGAGGACATCCTTTCTTCCTATCATTTGTAAGTTTGTGAACTAATTTCAATAGTCAATCTTATTATATAATTTTTTGTTGGTCACATGAGTCAACATGCATCGTCCCTATTTTCCTTATCCCCTACCGATTTTCCTAAGGTTTAATTGTATCAACCAATAGCCATCGACCATTTTGGACCTCAACTAATCTACTAATAATCATTGATCGCTTTAGAAAATATTCATTCTTTACCTTCTATAAGATTTTATTTTTTTGTGCTAATGATCTAATAATCATCACCTCCCACTATAGACCCTAATGAGATGGTGTGTGGCCACTTAATGTATTGAGAAACTGCCATGATGTGAAGATTTCTTGGAACATCATAACATCTTTCTGCCATGGATCACCTTCAATCATTATAATTATAATCATCTACCAAAAAGCCTATCATGATGGTCGAAGTGTCATGTAGGGCCATCTCCATACCTATCATGTGTTTGAACATTCATGCTTATGTTAGAATCGAACGCTCATTTCCTGACATAAATCACCTTCACGTATAAGATACTTTATAACAAGAGAGTAATTTTAATCCCAATGAAACTTCGTGGAATTATAACTTGAGACAATAAAAGTGTTTGCAACTAAATATTTGTAATATTTCACTTCCACACATAATTAAATAACCTCATCTATCCACACAATGAACAAAATCTTATTGATCTAATTGCTAAACTCATTTGTGTTATCTAGCTTTGCTCTGATTTTTCTCCACTATCTTATTTCTCCCAAACTAATTATCTCTCAACATGAATGAATTTCTCTTCATTATGAAATAATCACCTAGATAACTTAATCTCATAATTTCTCTAAAATTAAACTCAGTATTCATTTTTTTGCAAATCAATATAGAACCATACTTTCTTTTAAGATAGTTCTCTCTACACAACTTTCAATTATTCACAGTAACATAATAAAAATTTACTTATTTTTATAAAAAATACAAAAAAATATATAATGAAAAAAGATAACTATAAAAATGAATTAATAATCATATAATTTAAAATTAAAATAAGATAAGCATAATAAAAATTTACTTTTTTTTTTTTGGGAATAGAGGAAAGAAACTAAAAAAAGTCAATAGAAATCTTTTAGATGATTCTACATGCATATATTTTTGTGTTAAATATTTAAACAACTGAATCTGTTTGCTTCGTGGACCTCTTCTCCTTCGCCTTCCACAGATATAAATTTACAAAACCTCTGCAAACCCTAATCCCTTCGCTGAAATCGAAACCGGATCAAATCTTCTTACGCCGACTCCGGCGACAACAACTATCTACACCACTCGACGCTATCCTGGCTAATAAAGTCTCATGGCGAACGGAAAACCCTCAGATCTGCAGGAATACGTGCTCCGCTCAGGCGTGCGTTCTGGCCTCATGCGAGAGTTCGCCTTTGCCCTGAAGTCGCAAGCCGAACTCTCTAAATCTCTTGGTCGGACACGCTCACGCAAGGGTTCCGTGGAAGCACCCGCCTCACCCCCTTCTTGCAGGCGTAAGATACCCAAATTATCCGATGACCGGGAGAAGCAGCCGGTAATTATCCAGGTTCCGCCGGTTGGGTCAGTTATTCTTGCTATCCCGGCGGAGCTGCCTATGGATGTCGATTGCTCTCCATCGGGAGGAGTCGCGGTTGATATCCCAATTACTGATACACGAAATAATGGACATCCGAAGGGTGTTGTAGGTGTTTCGATTTCGGCTTACAGTAAAGAAGAATTGGAGAAGGATAACATCAGTTCAAACGTTCCAGTCTTTAGTGAAGGTATTGGGGGAGGGCAGAAGGACAATTTGCAGGCGGAGAAGTCAAATGCAAATCATAGAAAGTCGGTATCAGAAGTTAAACCGCAAAACTCAACAAGAACAACAACTCCTTCACGACCTATTTCTTTAGAGTCAGCAGCAGTTTCCTCGGAAGTGAGCAAGTGTCCATTGATGAATGGATCAGTAGCCAAGCAATCAATTGTGTTAGATGGCAGCCATGACACCAAGATTAGCAACGGATTAGCAGAGAAGCCAATAAGGAGGTTCACTCGGTCAGCCTTGAAGCTTATGCCTGTTGCTGCAACTCCACCTAAAATTGAGCAGGTAGAGATCCCAGGGGAAGTAAAACCAATAAGGAGGTTCACAAGGTCGACCTTGAAGTCAGTGCTTCCGGTTGCTGCAACATTTTCTTCAATTGAGCAAGAAACCCAAGGCAAAGTAATACCCGCAGTTGAAGTTCCTCTTACAGTTCAGCAGGAGGACGTGATGGAAATCCCAATAGTTGTTGACAACTGCGGTGGACTAGATTTTGAAACTGGCCAGCTAGAGGAGTCAATAAAAGGTGAACATGAGGGTTCTGTATCAGTAGCTATAATTTCAGAATTCCATGACGACAATGGGACGCATGATGTTGCTCTATTAGAGAAACCTACAATAACACCTACAAGGAGGTTCACAAGGTCTTTAGTGTCTGCAGTTGAAGAATCTGCAGTTGCAGATGGTTCTACACTCATTAGTGCCGTTTCCGTTGAATCAGAGGATTCAAAAGGGGATAACGATGCTCTTAATGAGAGTCTAAGAGCAACGTCAAAGAAGAAGATGGAATTGAAGATGTCAAAGAAGATAACATTGACAAAGTTCCCATCTAATGTCAGAGACCTCCTAGGTACTGGGTTGCTCGAGGGATTGCCTGTGAAGTACATTTCATGCCCGGGTAAGGTATGCTGTAATCTTATGTTGGATCTGAAACAATTTGTTTTGCCATTCACAAATAATATTTTCCACCTTAAGGTCTTGTGCATCACTATAGCTTGACTGGGATTTCTTCAATGTTGAGTTATTGTGCAGAATGTCGGGCTTCAGGGTATAATCACGGGAAATGGAGTATTATGCTCCTGCGCCTCATGCCAGGGAAAAAAAGTCAGTGCTTTGTTAATTCAGCCTGTTCATTTGTTGATTTTCTTGTTATGCACTGATGTGACCAAGTTGTTTCTTAACATTGTTGTTGGCATGTTAGGTTGTTTCAGCTTATAAATTCGAGATTCATGCCGGTAGCACTAAAAAGCATCCTTCAGATTTCATTTTCTTGCAAAATGGCAAGAGCCTTCGTGAAGTGTTGAAGTCATGCACTGGTGCTTCGCTAGACATGTTGGAAGCTGCAATTCAGAATGCCATTGGTCCCTTGCCTCCTATGAAACTGTCTCTCTGTCAGAAGTGCAAAGGTGTGCATATAAGTATTCTTGCTAGTACGACTTTTATTTTTGCCCCACTTTTGCAGGTATTTTTCTATTCAATTTTTTACAGATGTTTAATTATTTTCAGAGTTTTTTGATACTGCACGAACTGGAAATTTTGCTTTATTATGCAATTCATGTCTTCAAACAAGTCATCAACAAGCAACTCCAACCCCAACAAAAGGGATGAGTAGCTCAACTAAGTATGTTCTTTTCCTTGAGTTGAAATAAATTGTTTAACTCACTTTTGATTTTAACGCAGACTGCATCTTTTATTCTGAGGGAAAATTTTTGTATGGTACACAAAACTTGCTATTTATGAAACCAACCACCTCAATTTGCAATATGAATATCCAAATCCCAGTCAACAAAACAAAACCTCAATACCCAGCTCATATTTTTTTGCTTTAATTAAATTATCAATGAGTTGATTGTGGCATGCTCAAATACATAGATTTGATGGTTCATTTTTCTAAGGTTGGGTGTTAGGTTCATAAATAATCATATTTCAGATGGCATGTGTTTATTTTTCTTTGTATTCATTTGTGATGCAGGATTAAATTTAGTAGTTTTATGTTGCAAAACATGCTTTTAATTCATATTTTGCATATTATTCTTCAGTTCTCCTCCCTAAACAAGTTACTTACAAGCCTCTTGCTGACTTACTGTTCAAGGTTACCTAGGAGAGTTGTGGTACACTTTCCGTCTGATGGCACACCTAAGAACTTATCTTCCCAGAAAAGACCTAGCTACGGAAAGCTAACAAAAAAGTTGGTATCTTCATTATTTTATTGTTTAGAACTATCAAAGCCTGCTAGCCATTGCTTATTAGCTTTTGTTTTTTTATTAAATTTTACTAGTTTTTTTTTTTTTTTTATAAGGGACCTGGGACTGCATAAGTTGGTCTTTATGGATGACATCTTACCCCAGGGCACTGAAGTGGGATACTATGTTCGTGGAAAGGTGGTCCCATTGACTTGATTTTGGTGGAAGCTTAATGACATTCTTTATTTGATTTATCATGGTTGAAAATGCCATTATTTCCTTTTGACAGAAGTTGCTTGAGGGTTATATAAAAGATTCAGGAATATTTTGTGGTTGTTGCAATAGTGTGGTAAGTTGCTCATTTAGTTGTCTTATATTGAGCTGTGCTCATCCAAAAATATTTTCTTTCAAAGCGAATAGCTATATTTTACCAAATATTTAGATTTCATATCTTATTATTTTTTAGCATTTAATTTTTCTAATGGCTAGCATCGGCTTTAATATTTCTGAATAATTATAATATTTAGTCTTGTGATTTTTACGTTAATTATTAACTTCTAAACTGTATTAAAAAATCCTGTTCCATATGCTTGGGGATTATGATTTCTTGTTTTTATTGCTGAAGATGCTATATTTCTTTTTTTGTTGCCTCTATGAATAGGTTAGTCCTTCACAGTTTGAAGCTCATGCTGGCCAAGCATCACGACGCAAGCCGTAAGTTAATATTTGAAAGTTCAGCATCCGTTTGACATGACTATTCTTGTAAATTCTTAATCAATTTAAAAAATTATTACTTATTCTTCTGTTTGTGCAGCTACAATAATATCTATACTTCCAATGGGGTGTCGCTTCATGAGCTGTCGATTTCCCTGTCTAAAGGCCGTAAATTGGCAGCTACTGAAAATGATGACCTTTGTGGCATTTGTGCAGATGGTGGAGATCTTCTACTTTGTGATCTTTGCCCCAGGGCTTTCCATAAAGGTATGCTTGTTGTTAAATTAGAAAAGTTCCCAAAAGGGCATACTACATCATGAAGTAACAATCAATGTAAGAGTTTAGGGACGGGTTGATGTACCAGACTTAGCGTTGCATTTGCAAATAAACTATTTTTTGTGTCTGAGCACGTTGCCTTCATACATAATTGATATAAAATAATCATATTTTCACTTATTGAAATCTTGCTTCTTCCTTTTAACTTGCGTTTTGTGAATATTCCCTTAAATTGTGATTCAAATTTGAATTCTTAATTAAGATTATAAGTTCTTAACATGCTGAATATGGGACCTTTAAAATGCCAATTGATTTATGATTTGACGTAGTTTTAGTGCTACTTTAAATAATTATAATATATTTTTTTAGCAATTGGAAAATTTAAATTAAAGCATTTCCTCATATGTCTGTCCTTGCTTGGATGAACTTTTTACCTTTTTTCTAGCAGAATTCAACTTTTATTGGATGGTTTAAAATTGTGCAATATGAGACGTGGCTCAACTCTTTTTTCATAAGTTATGTGCCTCATGACCTCACATTTGAGGTACTCACCTATTTTTTATGAGGCGATGCTTCATAATATTTTTGATAAATTTTTAAAACAAATATAAATAAAATATATTGAATAGCCTCATCCCTCATGCATGCCCGAGTCCCTATCACTCCCAATTCCAATGAAGAACACACTAAGTGATGAGAGTATTGGGGACTTTTACATTTATAAATTCTAAACTTAATTGCTTGTTATATTTTTACTTTAATGTAGGAGTGGGAGAAAGAGTTATTAATGTTGAACTTATTTTGAATTGTTATTCTTATGTTTGATATTTGTATGATACTTCTTACTATATGATTTGATGTCAGGATGTTAATATGTTTTTTCTTATTTCATACTTTGATGTTAGGATAATATTTCCTCCTTTGTGTAGTTTGTTGATTTTGAGGCTTATGACTCAAAAGTGCTTCACGGCTTATGCCTCACTTCATGGTAAAAAAAATGCCTCAATACTCAATCATGCAATAATAAACCTTGTTTGGTAGTAGTGATGAAGCCAGATTAATCAATTGCATATTGTGCTTTCCACATTATTTACATCATTCTCAAAATTGTGATGTAAAATTTATCACCCACTATATATCATAGTTTATGAAACCATATATGATATATGTGCAGAATGCATAGGACTGTCGAAGATTCCTAGTGGAGATTGGTTCTGCCAGTATTGCCAAAATTTACAGCAAAAAGACAAGTGCTTGGCTAATAATGACAATGCCATTGCTGCTGGAAGGGTTGCCGGAGTAGATCCCATAGAACAGATAATTAAGAGATGCATTCGAATTGTCAGTACACCAGAAAATGATGCTGGCGTATGTGCATTGTGCAGGTTATCAGTTAGACCTATGCAATGATTAAAATTGAATGTCTACATATTTGATTTGCTTGAGTTTTGTTGTTAATTTTGTTTAGGGCTTTGTACTTTATGTGAGTATTTCCTTCAACTAGGCAGCTTGATAGTTAAATGATGAATTCGAAGTTTCACTCAAGCGGAATGAAATTGGCTTCCATATCTTGTGCAAATTAGCATTTTAACCTTTTTGTTAGTCAAAATTCAACACTTATAGTGTTTGGTGACCTGTTTCATGCGAGAAGTTTTATGTACTGCTTTGTTTTTCATTACATTGGTGCTAGCACTGACATTTATGCATTAACTTGTGAGAAAATATTGAGTTTGATTGCCATCTCGTAAGCTGATTTATTTGTGTTTTTCTGCGGCTGGAAACTATAATTAATTTCATACTTATGGTTTTACACTGTTCCAGACAGCATGATTTTAGTAGATCTGGATTTGATCGGCGTACTGTTATTATTTGTGACCAGGTATATATCTTTTAAATGGTTGCACTTATTCGTAGCTTTTTTTCTTATCTTTCTACTTTTGTTTGTCAGTATCCTTGTTATTGGCACATTTTTTATTGAAATATGTGTTTTTGTAGTGTGAGACTGAGTATCACGTTGGCTGTCTGAAGGATCATGACATGGCTGATCTCCAGGTTGGCATCTCTCATCTTCTTTTTATGTTATGTTTTTTTATCTTAAGTTGTAATCATGTGTATTGTGCTCTAAAACAGTCAAGGTAGGGCACTGGACCCACCATGGGGCTACCCTGATTAACCTCAAGTTTGACTAAATCAACCTTGGTCAAAGCCTACCATTCCTAAATTGCCTGTCTACCAGACTCACCAAGCTGCTTATTGATCCAATATTCCCTTAGGACCTGGATGGAACCTAGATCGATTCCCTTAAGTTAGGTCAACCTCATTTCATCCAAATCAACCAAAAGCCTATGGGACCCGATCAGGTTACCCTTGCATAAGGGCAGTTGAACTAACCTATTACTGGATTACTTTGTTGCAAAGTTTAAAATTGCACAATTATGTGTTGAGGCATTTTTTGTTCGTAAGCCTCAAGATGTTTTGAGGTGTAAGCCTCAAAATCAACAAATTGCTTAAAGTGAAATTAAATGTTAAATGTGATTTTTTATATAATACCCAAATAATATGTTAAATGATGGTATGTTAATATTGACATGCATGTGAATCAAAAAATTGTATAAGAAGTAAATTGGCAAGTGATAAATTGCATGAAATAAAATTGAAATCAAAATATTACAAGAGCAAAATAATATTAAATATAAGAATTGCATAAAAGGATCATATAACATCAAGTTCACCTCAAAATTTCTTCTTTCTTAGTTTCATAGTCATCCAAATTTAATTTCTAAAGAAAGCTAAAATAGTTTACAACTCAGAAATTATCTACACTGTCATTATTAAGGGAATTTTTATTTAAGTCATCATCATAGCAAATTGGTCTCTCCACTGCATCATCCTGTGGAGTCCAATGCCTCCTAATATGCTTCTTCTTTTATTTCAGTCGTCTTCATCTTTCATAAATGTTTATCACCAACAGAAAGATGAGGTTAATACTTCAAAATTTTTAGAGGTGTGGTGGTATTAGGCTTTCAGGTGATCCTTGACGGTGGCTACGACAGTGGTGGCTGCAGCGAAGGCGGTGGGCCGGAGGTCGAGGCAGTTAAAAGGAAGTTGTTATGACTCGGGGATATGAAAGTGTGATTTGTTCGGGGCTTTAGTTTGGGATTTATGTAGGTTTTAATTAGAAAATCTATAAATAGGGTGAGGTGTACGCCTTATGCCAGCGAGGCAAGGCCCGCCTCAAGGAAAGTCTCAGCCAAGCTAAGGCGCAAGTTTCATCAAAAAAGTTTTAGGCGTAAGCCTTGAGGCGTTTTTCATTGAAATTGCATTGAGGCGAGGCTCATATTATACAATTTTAAACAATGCTTTGTTGTGTAAACCCATTTGAGTCCCATCTTGAATTTACCTTAGATTAAGTTTGCCTAAATGACAACTGAGCTAAGCCAACCTAGCTTTGTGCTAAACTTAACCTCATTGTACTTAAGCTCAATCAAATTGGCTTGATCAATAGAGGTTATTTGGACATAGCTCGAACCAACTCAAGCCAAAGTCTAATTCAATTTCCTAGTTGATGTAGACAAGGGCACCCCACCTGTATCCTTCTTCTCTTGGAAAGCAACTTTAGGAGTTTATGTTTATGATTGTGTAAGCGTCGTTTGTACGAGTCAAAGTTTGTAAGTCTTTCATTTTACTATATAAAATTGGGGTTTATCGTATTTGTGTTCTTTTGGGTATTTTGTGAGTTTCTTTTTTTGTGATAAAAAATTTGGGTCCCTCCCCAAATTTTTGATTACATCACTAGTACTTTAGATCAAGGTTTAAGAAGGCGATATCGGAGATCAAGGCGTATTGCCTTAACGAAGTGAGGTGCAAGCCTCAAAATGAAAAAAAATTAAAGTACTAAAAATATAAATAACTATAAAATGACAAATATTAAGTAAATTATGAATATAATGACTTATTTGAAAATAAATGTTACTAGAACACAAGATTCAAAATAAATACTCACAAAAATCACTCTTTTCTCCATCAATGATCAACCCAATTTTAGCCCATCTAAATGATGCCTCTCCATATGATTCAATCATATAAATTTAAAAGAAGACCTTGATATGAAGGCAATTCAATCATATAAATTTTTTAAAAATGAAAGTTATAGCAAATACGATTAAAATGAAAAAAAAATATTCATGGTGAAATTCATTCAAAAATGTGCCGTTGCAATTAAAGAACCCTGTCAGCTAAAATTTGTGTTTTTTGTAAAGAATAAAACTATAGCAAATACAACTTATACCTCGGTGCTTAAAAACTATGAAAAAGAATTATTGGTGGTGACCAACTGATTACTTCCGACTTGACCTAAACTTTAGAAAGCAATAGATTAAGATGAAATTGTTAAACTTTAACAAATATAAATTAAGCTGATCTTACTTCAACATGAATGCCTCATGTAAGAAATGCACGTCTTAAATTTCATAATTGCTTCTCACAGAGTTGTCACAACTTACACGGGCTTGAAAGGGAAGATGGATCGTTACCTCATCATGAAGAACTCATCCTAATACAAAGCGAGGCTGAAGCAGGCGAGTCTGAAGCAGTGCACACGAAGCCAAGAGAGCATTTCATTCACTACAAGTTGCAGAAGGGGGTAGAAGATTGGAACAAATGTTTCAATCCGATGAAGCCCTAAATCTAATAAGTGCTCTCAACTCTTCCAAACTAAAAATAAAATAAAATTGATATAAGCAGCGCCTTAAACTGCCTCGAGGCGTTACACCTCAGTGAAGAAAATCGGAAGTCTCGGCCAAACCACCGAGGCTTATGCCTCAAGGTGTCCAAGCTGCGACTCGAATCGAGGCGTGCCTTGAGGTGTACGCCTCAAACTCCTTTTTAAACCGTGCTTTAGATAAGGTCAGTGCAACCCGGTTTCAATCTTCATTCAGTTGATCAAACTTTGTTGAATTCAGTGGGCGTATCTAGCTTAAATTTGAGGCTAGTCAAACATAAGACAAACCAAGCTAAATAAAAATTCAATTAAACCTCTTTATATCATCTAAGGATGACTAGAGAACCTTAAAGAGTCAATTGGGCTTGGCAATCACTGGAACTGCTGCGCATAATTCAATTTGACCCAAACTCAATCATAATCAAATTAAATATGTATGCCTAAGCTTAGCCTAAATTGAACTTAAGTTATGTTTACTCTAGTTTAGCTCACACTCCAAATTGAATGCTTGAAAAACTGCAATTAGCTTAACCCCAATTTTGATTTGAGTTTGTCTTATTCTAACTCAATGATAATTTAAATCTGAACCGATGTTTAAGTTCTAAAATTCAGGGTGCTCTAATGATTAAGTATGCCAAGTCCAATCTCAATTGCATGCTTGGTTTCTCCTAGTGTTGTTATATCCTTCTTGAATCCAATTCAATCTACGTAGATGAGGGATTAATATATTTAGATCCACTCCATTTCCGCTTAGGCAACTTAATGTACCTAGATTTAATCCAATTTGAAAAACAATTGTGCTAATTTGAACCTTAGGCTTCATATTTACTTAACTAAACTAAGTTAAATCAGATTGACTAATAGACATGATCTTAGTTCAGTGGCATCCCAACTTGGTTAAATGAGTTAAATGTCATTTAGTTTGATCAATGTGACTAAGAAACCACATAGGAATCAAACCTAAATAAAGCTACGACTCTTAAATCTGAAGCCAGAGAGCATGATAGCAAGTTTGTCCTCTTTGCCATTACAAATCTTCAAGTCAATATGGCACATGCTCATGCGAGTAGGTTTTTTCGTTGCTCTGATCACAACTAGTGAGAGCTCACTATCTCTTATACCATCCACAAAAACCGCTCGCATGTTTTGTGGGCTTGGCCCCCCCACGATGCTGAGCGACTCTCAACCAACTTCTTTGAGGATATTTTCTTGTAAAATCTCCCATCACCAACTTGTCCTTGAGCATATTTTTAACCTTTATTTTCTCCAGATATTTGAGAATTGGCAACTCATGACGGCTAATTAATCTTTTTAGTTGATATGGTTTTCAGACCTTCTATCCTTTGTGAACTAGATCCCCAAGGTTGATATGGAATAGGGGTGCAACCGAGTCAAGCCGGCTCGTAAGCTGACTCGAGCTCGACTCGTTAACGAGCTCGCGAGTCGAGCTTATCGAGTATCGAGCTCGAGTTCGAGCAAAATTTTGAGCTTGGCCTATTATCGAGCTCGAGTTCGATACATACCTTGTCCTGGCTCTAGTGCTCGTCGAGCCAGACTGATTAGAAGGCGAGACACGGTCCCACTGACGGATTTGCGAAATTTGAGTTTCGATGCAAAGTGAAGCGGCGGGAGTGCGGGACTGCAGGAATTCTTGACCGGGCGAATAATGAACCGGGTCCGGCAACAAGTAAACAACTTATTCTAAATTTCAGCGGAGTGAAGAGCCGATCTATTCGTGAGGAGCTGTGGTCTGTGGAGTGCGGCGTTCGTTCAAGCTAGGGCATTTCTTCTTCGTCTGCCATTCTTGCAGTGCTCACGCAAGAGGCGTGAGTTGGTTAGTAGAGAGAAAGTTCTAAGATCTTGTTAGGAGCTCTATTCTTCATTTTTTTATGTTTCCTTTTTAGTTTTTTGGGCTTGACAAGTTGGCGTTTAGAGGTGTCTTCCGGTGCTGCAGCAGTACGCAACGCATCACTTTTTTTTTTGAGCCTCTTGTGAAAATTTTCCTTCACAATTCTTTCATGTTTCAGTTTTTACCATGTTTCTGTATCTATACAATTCGAGGAAAAGTTATAAACCATTCCAAAAGAAATTTTTTCCCAATTTCCCTGCTACCATCAACCACTGGCTTCATTTCTTTGTTGGAATTCTTGGGATGACATTGAATCCATGGGACGGTGTAGTTATTTTTCATTTTCTATGCATCTTTCTCTGTTTGAATACATAAGCATTATTATGCTCGGGACGAGTGAGGACGGAGGTCGACCACGCTGCTCAGGACGACGGAGGTCGTGACTATTATCGTCGGTGACGATGTAGCTCAGGAAGACGGAGGTGGACAACACTGCTCGGGACGACGGAGGTCGCGACTGCTAGCCTACTCGGGACTGAGCTTGACGAGCCGCTCGATGTGAAACAAGTCGAGCTCGGTATTTGATAGTAGAGCTCGACTCGAACACCCCCCTGGCTCGAGCTCGACTCAACTCGTTTGCACCCCTAATATGGAATAACAACATTGGAGGATTTTGCTTGCATTTCATCTCCCAAATATGCTACAAATACAAAACCAAATTTAATCACATATATATCAAAGTATTGCGTAGTTTTTAATTGAGTGTGTTCTTAGGTATCGCTTCTAAGATGTAATTAATAATGTGAATTTGCACTTATGGGAAATCTTGATACCCTAGAGCTTGATATAAACCCTGAATAGTTTAAATTGTTGTTTAGGGGAAACATCTGCTAAAATGAAAGTCATTTTTTAATTTTTATGCTACTTTGCATTTGATCCCAAGACTCCAAAGAGTGCAAACGGATGGTCACTCCTTGAGCTCATGAACACTTTTAGAGCCTACAATTTGCTATTTGAAAAGTTCGATTTGGATTGCAATACCAAGCAATTTGGCATTCACCTTTTTTCTCAGTTAGTATTTTTTTGTCACAGCACTTCTTTTGTGGAATTAGTTTTACCTCACTGGATACACGGGTTGGGGCTAATGAGCCCAGCTTGTTTTAATTTTGCTCAAAATACTAATGAAATCATTATTTGCAAAACTTTTCTTATGAGTTAGGTATTACCTGAAGGGGAGTGGTTTTGTCGCCCAGATTGCAGTAGGATTCATGCTGCTTTACATGAGCTGCTTCGTCAAGGACCAGAGATCCTTGAAGAATCAGATGCAAACATCATAAAGAAAAAGCTTGATGAAAAAGGTTTAAGCTCCGAGGCTACTGCTGATTTAAAATGGAGACTTCTTAGTAACAAAAAAGATTCTACCGACAATGAACTATTACTATCTCAAGCAGTATCTATATTCCAAGTAAGTGCTAGATATGTCTATCATGAAACATTCTACTATGTTTATACTTTATCTGAATTATATTACCATTTCTAAATGTAAATGCTCTTATACCTTTATGTGATTGATAAGCAACGTAACTGCTTTAGAGATCTCATTGAACTGTACTAGTATACATAACTTGATCTGTCCTTAACAAGTGATTTTAATATTTCTTTAGATGATTGGTTATGTTTGTACAATTTCAACATTTAGAAGCATCTCTCATTGAATCCCAAATTTTAATCTAAATGCCTCAACATTTTTTTTTCTTCCATTCTTCCATACCTCTCTTTTTAATGGACTACTATTTTTCCTCTCTCCTTTCAGCTCTTCCATACGATCTTTTTTTGACTTCTTCAATTCTGATTTCTTCTACTTTGCTCCCTTCTTCTCTAAGCTTTCTTGCTTGGCATCTACTTTTCCGCAATGATGGAGTATGAAAATTTTTTTACTTCTTAAAATTGTTCTGTTATTCCATCATGATTTTAGGCATATATATATATATATATTATCGTAGATTATATGGTATAAGCATTCATGATCCTAATTGTATTGACATCTTTCAGTTTGCCCATGTTTGCATGCACCTATCTATATCCAGAATAGTATGTCAAGGCTTGTTTGACTTTGTTCTGTCTTCTAATATTCTTCTTTTAGTTTTCTTCATTTTAAAATTATACATATGCTTTGTCTTTAGGGATCTCTTAATGGCAACTTTATTGGTCTTGTACAGGAGTCATTTGATCCCATAGTTGATCCTATCTCTGGTCGGGACCTTATACCCTTCATGGTTTATGGGTATGCAATATCACCCTTTATCTTCTTTCTGGTCAGGACTTTATAAACTAATTGTCACCCCTTTTAATGTTTCTTTGCCTTATCTGACAGAAGGAATATGCGGGATCAAGATTTTGGTGGTGTATATTGCATGGTTTTGACTGTGAAGTGAGTGTTTTCTGCACCTGTAGATTGTTTTTTTTTCTATTTTCTTAGGATTCAATGCTAAAGCTGGTTTCACAATTGCAGATCATCAGTTATATCAGCTGGGCTTCTTCGTGTCTTGGGATGTGACATCGCAGAACTCCCGCTAGTTGCTACAAGGAGGGAAAATCAAGGGCTGGTAAGTTGACATATTCCACTTCAGTTACCACACAATATTTGTGATATATATATATACATAGAGAGAGAGAGAGGAGCGCAAAAGTTTGTTGGAAAAGCATATTTTTAAAATTATAGCAGTCCCACTTCCAAAGATTTAGGACGGGGAGGATGTTTTAGCCGTATTAGCATCAATGTGCCATGCCCAAGATGGATTAAAAGTTGTTTGCTGTTTTGTTTTTGTCGTACTTGACATGTACTTTAACTATGTCATTGAAGACATGGATGACAATTTGCTATTATCTTTGGGCAGGGATATGGTAAATTAAAAAAAAAAAAAGCTTATTTCCCCTCTTCCAAAGATTTAGGATGGGGAGGATGTTTTAGCCACATTATGATCCATTTGACATGACCAAGGCTGCATGCTATTAGATTTTTGGTTTCCTTGTATCGAACCGCAAAAAATTGTCATCCTGGACGTGGATGATAATTATGTATGGAAGGCAATTTTCTATTCCCTCGGGAAAAAAATTGGGAAATATATATTTTTCCCCTTAAACCATAAAGCCTATTTTTCGGTCTCTTTAGGTTTGATGGAGAAATATAGAGAGAATAAGGAGGATCTTCATATGATATTTATTGATTTAGAGAAAGCATATGATAAAGTTCCAATATAATGCTTATATTCAAATCATTAAAGGTATGTATGTGTTCAAACACAAGATGGTTTGACCAAGTATGTTCCTATCTCGGTTGGATTACATCAAGGATCATCCTTAAGCCCATATATTTTTTGCTTTATTCATGGATGTTCTCACTGGACATTTGCAAGAGGATGTACCTTGGTGTATGCTTTTTGCTGATGATATTCTTTTTGTTGATAAGACTATAGAGGGAGTTGAAGGTAAACTTGAATTATGGAGGTCAACCTTATAGTATAAAGTTTTTCAATTGAATAGATATAAAACTGAATGTATGGAGTGTAATTTTCGTAATAATAAATCTAGTGGTGGATTGTGACTTTGGGCGATCAAGTCATTAATAAGAGTACACGTTTTAAATATATGGAATCTATTGTTCAGAGTGATGGTAAAATAGATGGGCATATTATCAGTATAATTCAAGTTGGATGGTTGAAGTGGAGGATTGCATCGGTCTTGTTGTGTGATAAAAAAGTCCCCCTCAAACTTAAGGGAAAATTTTATAAGATGGTGGTGAAACCTGCAATGCTTTATGGTGCTGAATGTTGACCATTAAAAGAGAAGCATAATACTAAGTTAAGTGTTGTAGAGATGAGGATGCTCAGGTGGATGAGTGGCTTTACCCTTAGAGATAGGATTCGAAATGAGCATATACGTGAAAAGGTTGAAGTAGCTCCAATATAAGATA